TAAGCCATGTGCCACTGTTTGCACCTACACTCGGACCCACTCCTGACTAGACTTCTGAGGTGGCTAATTGGCTTTCAAAATGAAGCTTAGCCAGCCATGGCTCATTTTTAGACTAATTGCATTTAAAGCCCAATACTTTAAACTAATTGCAATTTTGTTATGGCAAATATAAATATCAGTTTAGAAGTTACAACTATATTTTTCTTTTTTGATTTATAGATGAAATAATATACATGAACGATGGTGATACAGTGTTGTTTTATGAATAAAAAATAATAAAATGTTTTGTACGTGAATAATTCATGGATTACTGATTCATGTTTTGTATAATAACTGATTATTTTTTCACTAATAATAAAAACAGAAAAGTAACGTTTATTAAACATGTATTTTTAAGAAGACAAATCTTACAACATTATTTGATTCTCATTACATAATCACTACAATAATGTTGCATTATATATAGAAATGATTACAAAGATATTGACCAAAAGAAGAAGGTTTATGGAAAGTAGGAAAAAAGTGAGGAATCATTGTTGGTGGCAATGATTAGGGTTGATGTCCATTATAAAGAAGATGATCCATAAACTTATAGAAATCAAAAGTTATGTGGTTGTGGTGCCATGCATGTGTGCATCATCATATATATATATATATATATATATATATAGGGTATATTTCTTTTACAACCTTGTGTATTTGTACAACTTTTGCAACCCAATTAATTTGAGATATTTATAGAAATGATTGGAGTTCATTTATTATGATTTGAATATTTATGGAATATGAATAGAGTTTATTAATTATGATTAATACTTTATATTAGGAAACAATTAATTGATTAAAAATTGAATGGTTGAGATGAGGGTTGTATAGGGTGTAGGAATGGCAAAGGGTGTAAAATAACATCCCTATATATATATATATCTAATCAATATCTGCCTTTTTCAACCCATGCTTCTTCATTGCTTTAACCTAATCCATGTTTGTGGCTTTCTCTTCATTCAAAACAACTCATGCATCATCCACTCTACATATACATATCAAGATGAATAATTAATTTTTGTGGTAATTTTATTCTTGAATAGTAGATAATGATAACTTTTATTCATGTATAAATTTTGTTAAATATTCATAAGGGTGTTTTTTATATTAAAGAGAGGCAGTTTGATCGGACCCAGTAAATGAAGACAGATTGGATAAGGACCGGGCTATGACATTAATCAGAAATAAGTTCGACAATTAGTCTTTTTACAAATCAAGATTTTTGGAGTCATATCATATTAATTAAAGTCGGTTTATAAGGCCAGATAAAGCTTGGTCCAAACCAAAAATGGACCAGGTTACACTAGGCCGGTCTCGAGCGGAGCAAGATTGGTCTAATTTGATTTTAAAAATTCTTTTTTTAAAAAGTCATGATCTTTTTAACATAACAAATTAAACTTTTTTAGATTAGGGTCATGTCAATGCCCAGGTTAATGTTCCATTTTTACTGCTTCAGTTCCAGACCAAACTGACATTTTTTTCTCGATCCAATCAAGACCAGAGTTCTACACTATTCCTTGTAGTTGGTTAAAAAAACGATAAAAATTGAATTTTTTTCATCATAGTAAAAACAAGATGACGCAAGTGGTAATGGATGAAGCAGAAGCGAGAATGTCCGCTTGAGTAACGCAAACATTGATGAGAATCTAATCCCCAAGAACCAAAGGGTTCCTCAAAAGCTTAATGGTGTCACATCCATCAGTCACGAAATGTTTTATAGTTTACAACATATATAGCAAAGGTAGAAATCATGGTATCTACGACATCTTTAATAATTACTTATTTTAGAAATTTTATAGATATAAGAAAAGTTTACTTAAAAACTATGTTAAACTCTTTTCTAAAACAGGAAAAAAAATAATAAAAAATCAGTCACATATTTTTTATAACCAGTCACAGATCTTTGTCTGTGAAAAAGTGAGAAAACATTTTAAAAAGAATAACATAACATCATTTTAATACTTACTTTTATTTTCGTTTAGTATTAGAATTTTTCTTAAATTATGGTATTTTTATTTAACATTCAATATTTAAAGATAAAATAATTAATTTCTATAAAATAAATTATAAATAATAAAAAAGAAATAACTCAGTTTAAAATATGCACTATGAAATAGTTAGTGAACACATCACAACCCTTTTAAAAGTTTATGCACAACAAGATACATTTATTAAAAACGATATTTTATAAATGGTTTGATATGACATAAAATCATTAATAAATTTCATAAAAGTGATTCTCGAACAATATTTGGGTCATGTAAGCATCGACAACTATGATAATAATAGAAACATGATAATGTAATATCCTTCTTTAATTTAGGGGTTGTTGGGTAACGACTTAATGAACTTAATAGCTTGTATGGCTTATTTGAGTAAGCCATACATAAGTGTTCAGTTGTTGGCTTAATGAAAAAATTGATGATTTTTTCGGTTAGCTAGAAAATGGTTGTCCTTACTATTCACCCATTTGTACCCTTGTCGAAGAAAATCACAAGCCATCAGATATGCCTTCTCCCCTCAAAAGAAATCCCATTCCTCATGACCCCTGTCAAAGAAACCCTCTGTTGATGAAGGCCCCCATCCTTTGTCGGTCCTTTACCGGAGTCCTCGTTGGTTATCTCCTCTCCTTGTCTGTATACTCCTATTTGTATCCTTCCTAGATATGGAAATATGTGTTTCTTCCTGTTTTCTTCTCCACATATCTGTAAACATCTCTGTAGATTCTTGCCCTTTCTTGATTGTGTTTTGATTCAGTTCCGATGTTGTTTTGTGGATATCTCATGTGAGCATTGCCTTTTGATTTGTACCAACAACAAAAAAACATAGGTTCTTCTCAAAGATGCTACATTACAACGTTACATAGACAGCTTAATCTATACATATCTGACATTCAGACCGTTTATTCAAACAAAAATATAAATTGAAGGGCAAAATTGTCATTTATGACATTCAGACCTGTATTCAACAATTTATCTTATATCATATAGACAACTTAATCTATACATATCTTAATGAAAACAACCTTTTAGTCTTTTTGTTTAAGAACTTTTGAATGCTATAAAAGTATTTCAGGTTTGTTAGTACATTGGTATTGACGTGTTTTTTGCTCTTTACATAAAGGCGTCGTTCGTTTGACATATGTTGTTTAGAAATTTGGATTTCTGTACAAAAATTAAGAATCTTTGATATGTTTAAGTTGTAGAATTTGGATGGAAGTAAATTTCATTCTTTATACATAATTAAAGAAAACAAATTATAAATATGTATAAAAATAATTAAATTACAATGTATTAAATGTTAATTACAAAACAAATGTTTTTAACATAAGTACAAACAAATCCTATAAAATTCCGTTAACTACCAACTACACGCAAGGGAGTTCTTAGTCCAATGTTTATGGGATTTTATGAAATTTCGAGATTTAAGTTCCCCGAGATTAATATAGGTAGGCAGGCATAACCAAAATTTGCAAAAGAAACAAAGAGAATCAGTAGTGAGAGCAGGTGTTACAGAAAACAGTCTATTGGATATGAAAGCAGAGATGTAATTAAAATAAAAACAACAATCCACTTAAATCTTTTTGTTTACTACATATGAGAATCGAGTTTGGTATCTTGAATCAGTACGCTACCGAAATAAAAAGAAAAACGAATCAATAACCTACAATTATTGCATCTGTTAATTTGCATATTTGAACGTAACATAATACACTGTCAATTCACCTATCGTGAACCTGTGCCCAATATGTGTTGAGCAACCTCGAGTTCGGTCTATTTCGACATGTTGTGAGTTAGTCAAGTGGTTGAATCAGTAGTAGCAAAAAAATAAGTCTACCAGAATGTATTAAAGCAGAACCCTTAGGAACTAGTATTTTGAGTCAAAATTTTCATTTTTACCTTATATTTCAATTAAAATGTTTGTTTCATATAAAAAATCAATCTTATTATATCGTTACGTTTATACAAAAAGTTGATTATCAATAATTCTAACCGGTCTCATACATAATTTGCTTTCAAGGACACTAATTTTAGAAGGTATTTTTTAATTCACTTAACGACTAAAGCTAGCCAAACTATAATGAGATCCGAGATTAAAACCGAGATCTGTCTTGTATTTGAACAAAATCATCCCATCTTTTTATCAGGGTATTGTTATATACATTATTTTTATGTCAAAATTAGATCAAATCATGTATTGAAAATGTAAAAGCAGATTTTGTTTTTGATATGTGTGAATAAAAAATCAACGGATAGAAATACATTTTATAATATACCATTTAGAACGTGTCTTCGTTGATTGAGCTAAATGCAGATGCAAGAAGTTGTCCTTAGTCCAGAGTTGCTTTTTCAGAGTTTCAGTTAGTAACCGATAGACAGAAGACGACGTCGAAAGCCGAGTCAAAATACCACACCACTTGAGTCGCTCATTCAGAGCCGAGCTGTTATCGCTAACTCATTTCCAGCTAAGACTTTGCTAAAAACAGAATATATCACTAAACCCTGGTTACTTGTTAGGTTAAGCTCACACCAGCCGCGCCACTCCCCAACAAAAAGCCAAAGCCTACTCCTTCTCTCTTTCCTCTTCCGTCTCCTTCTCTCTCTTTCTCTCTCTCACTCAATGGATTCCGACCTGCTCTGCTCTCCGGTGGCCGTCACCGTCGATTGACAGACGGAATTTTTTTGAATCTGATTTGTTCTCCCTTCTTTTAGATTTTTGTTACCAAGGTGTTGGGATGGCAGAAGGAGAGAAAGGTGGACTGATTCAGAAATTAATTGATATTGTAAACGAGATATCTGCAATCTCTGACTACCGGTGTACGGTGAAGAAGCTTTTCTCTAATCTAGCTAGAAGGTTAAAGCTGTTAACCCCACTGTTCGAAGAAATCCGTGATATCAAGGAGCCACTCCCTGATGATTCTCATCAATCGTTACTTTCGTTAATGGATGCTATGGAATCTGCTAAGGAATTGCTTCAAATCGGGAGTGAAGGCAGCAAGATATATTTGGTAAAACTCTGTCAATTAAATCTAATCCTTTTCTTTTTCGGTTCGTAATTTGGTGGGAGGATGCAACATTTATGATAGAACCGTATGCTCTACATGAAATTTAAGAATTTCATGAAAATTTAATGCTGATTTTGTTAAAAACATACCGAATAAGTCGGTGGTTTAGACTCCTTGGAAGCTGACATGGGGTTTTAAGTTTTAATTGTGATGAATTTATTAATTCAGTAACTTTTTCATCGACTTAATTTTTGTTACTTAGTTATCTCAAAAAACAAAACGAAGATCTCTATTTACTTACTTGTTCTGTCTTTATGACCTTGTTTGGATCGTGCTTGACGGATAATTTCTTTGCTGGTACATTTATTTGCAATTAGTGTCTGAATTTGGTCTGTTATATTTGACAAGTGAAATCAATGCTAATTCAAAAGACAGGGAACACACATTATTACGTTTGCCTTATGTTTATGAAGACTTGTTCTATTGTGAGGATCTATATTATATACACACACAATTTAATTGAACTTATTAACTGTGAAGATAGCTGCTAGTAAAGATCTTTTTGACATTTATGCATATGAGATATATTCTATTAAAATAACGTGCGAATTCATGATCAGTAAGACGGTGGATGATGTAATTCCTTCAGCTTTGGGTTGATAATATGTTTACTTTCACTTTGTCGACACGATCAGCTTTGTACTATTTCTCTTTCCCTTTTTGGAAATTTATTTCGGTGGTTGTTGTTGTCCAAACTCCAAGTGTTTTATATTGGCACCGTCAACTAATGTTTTATAGATTACGATATTATCGTGTCATTGTTCTGAAAGCTCTTGTTAGGCCCATGTTGGGACCAAAATAGTTTTTAATTGTTTTATTTAAATGACTTAATTTGCTTTCTTACTATATGAAGGTGTAGTAAGACAAGAAGGTACTAGAAAAGGTGACAAAGTTGGTTTTTTCTGAATTAAAAATCAGCTTCATGCATTAAAAAGCCATGTTACCTTATCCTTTCTTTGTTGTTCCTGTTTTCGCTAGTGTGATAATGATGTTTTGAAGTTCAGGTATGGAGTTAGTCTTTTATATCTTATGTGAAAGTTACTAAAAAGCTGGCTACAGATTGGTTGATTGAAAATAAGGTTGGTTTCCTGACTGTTAGTGCATGCTAGTACTGCTGATAGTGTGTAATAACGAAATGAAGGTTTCCTAAATCTGTAAAAATGACATAAAGTGTGTTGGTTGAGAAAATTTTATGTGAATTTAGTGAGAAGAAAAGAATAGCATGATTTTCACTTTGCAAGTTAAATTGAATCCTCGGAGTTTAAAGGACTCCAGGACCGAGTGGTGTTCACAGAACGGCGCTGATACACATCTTCTTTTACATTTTGGCTTTCTTGCATACCTCACCTAAAGTTTTGATGCTAGTGATTGAAGATATGTATCTTGACCAAGAATAAGAACAAACACCACATGGATATGGAGTCTGTCGGTGAAAAAAATTAGTTTCTCACAGGTTGAAGGATATTTGAAGAAATGTGAGAATCTGATTGACTCACTTTCGAGGTAGAAGCAGGTCAGTGATCCATATTATTGGTGCAAGGAGCCAAGGACACATTGCTTAATGATATCTTTTGCCTTCTTTTTTGCTAGAATTCAGCAATCTGGCTTGAGTATTGCTATGAGAGTGTAAGGGTGTCATGCATGATTGTTTGGTTGTTTCCAAGAATGGTGTTGACTGCTTAACGTTTATCTAAGTCTTATATAGGGATACAAATGAACCATATGCATAGTAAGCAAATGGTGATTAGGTGCGAGGTCCACATGGCCTGATCTTATGATTTCTAAACTTCCTAATGTTTGAGTGTAATACAAAATCATGTTCGTTTGGAAGACGTAATTATAGTCACCTGCGTTCAGACCTTATACCCTACAAAGTACTTTCTAATTCCCGTCTATACTGTGACGGGGTGTTCTCTGAAGTGGATATATGATGTCCTAACTCCTAAGCATGCTCTGACAATAAAGGCTGCAAAAAGAAACCTTTAAGGCTAATATATAATATGTATGCCGTGTTATATCTTTAGAGCATATTTAGTCCCTAAGACACATTGTCTTGAGCCATAAAGCATACCAGGTGGCTTGTTAAACATTCTCTGATTCAATCATTATATCTGGATTTGTATTCTTTCATGTTTCTTGTGCTTCCATCACCTTTGGTTAATTGGGTCCAACACAATAACTTGCTAATACAAGTTAAGAATCAACTCAATTAAGGTCTAAGAAAGTTTCAAACTACGTAGGGTTGGCTAAAAGGAATTCATATCTGTCAAATTTCACAATGGAGTTATGACTTTGCTCGAGGGACGGAACAGCTAGGCCTTTGTTGGAATACATCTCAAAATTTTGCAAGTGCAGGAATTATGTAATGGGTACCCTGTTATCTTAGATGTGTAAGATAAGATAGTGATTCACAATCTGTATATCAATCCGAGCCAATCATGGCAAAGGAATCCAACCAAATGGATGGGTGATGATTACATATGATGATTATTCAAGAGATAATCATGGGAACAACTAGGGAAACAACAAAGATTAGGGGATGGTGAGGAATAACTACGTAAAGTTATTTCATCTTTTTTTTTTTAGTAAGGATAAGTAATATTCTATCTCCATAAGTGGATATAAATATCCATGGCTGTACCATGAATGGGAATAGGCTTGATTTTGTTTTTCACATTGTGTTTTTGGAGTAGCGGACACTCAAAGTTACATGTTGACTGAGCTTGTACTTACTCGAAAAGTACTTTGCTAAATAAGTCAATTGGAATCCGGAACTGTAGGAAATATATGTACATTAATGATTTGCAACTTTGGCAAATGACACAAAATTAGGAAAAGACCAAACAAGTATTAGAAGTCAATAGAAAAGCTTTCTGGTCAATACTAGGGCTTTGGTCTTAAACTCCGTATTTCTATGTGAATGTGGTCAGAAACAATGATTGACTCGAAGCTGTGAACTTAGTATAGTTTAATTTACATTAGGCTTTCCTAGGACTTCGCTGAATGCTATTAATCACCACATCATTGGACCTTGTGGATGGTATATTCAATTATTTATGGAGCTGCTAAATGTTCGTTCATTCGTAGTATAGGTATCACCAGTAGTGCTTTTCTCTCTTTCTCAGTGTGCAAAATGATTATTTTCTAGAGCAACAAACAATACGTGCTTCTTGTAATTTTCATTTATAACACCTTTTTTTTTGGAGGACCATCGTTAACAAGTCAAAGCTCCTATAATAGATTACTGGGAGGACTTGTTCATAAGCATTAGAAGATAATTTGGACTTCAACAAAGAAGACAAATTTACAGCTGATGCATTTGTTTACTTTTGGTCAAATAATTCTCTCCTAAAGTGAGTCTCGTTCTAAAATTCAGTTCAATTTAACCGTACAAAAGTTTGAAGTAAACTAGTAAAATCTTCTTTCTTTAGTGATTCGGTTACATCTTAAAGGAGCAGATATGGCACTATTTCATGCTTCATTTTTGGCTAACCACCTTTAAACAGAATGTGAATGAACAATGAGAATATTAAGAGCTGCATGTATGGCAGTTCACTTTCTCACACATGAATTTAGCAGATAAATGCAAATGTTATTAATCCAAGTGTTAAATTGACATGTAATGTCAAACTAAATAATTTAGAAGTGCAATCTTAAACAACTTAAGCCACTTAAACTCTTTCCTCTGGTTCTAATAATGATAGCCATATTTTTACTTGAAAAATGGCGTTTCTTTTAAGTCACTTGTTAAATGTAATATGTCCTTTGTGTTAAGCAAAAATAATTTCTTAAGCTTGCTCTAGCCGACTTTTCTTATATCAGGAATACATGTCTTTGTTTATTCTTTTACACAACATGCTCTGCCGTGCAGGTTTTGGAGAGGGATGAAATCATGAAAAAGTACCAAGCAGTTACATCTCGTTTGGAACAAGATTTGAGCAGTATTTCTATTGATATACTTGACATATCGGATGAAGTTAAAGAACAGGTGAGATTAGTCATATCTTGATAAAAGGTATTTAGATACAGCTTGCTTTGTAAATTATACCTAAGCAGGACCCAGAAAGCTAAGAAATGCGGATTTGTTTCTTACTTTCTACCTAATCTCATGGCTGTGACACGATTCTTATCCAGGTTGCCCTTGTTCTTGCTCAATTCCGAAGAGCCAAGGGAAGAATTGATGCACCAGACATTGAGCTTTATGAAGATCTTTTGTCCCTTTACAACAAGGATAACGATGTGGTAGAAGATCCTGCTGTCTTGAGGAGATTGGTTGAAAAACTACAGCTGACCGAAATAACCAACCTTACGAATGAGTCAATAGCATTGCATGAAATGGTTACTGCCAGTTCTGGAGACCCAGGTGAAAGTATAGAAAAAATGTCAATGCTACTAAAGCGAATCAAGGATTTTGTGCAAACAGAGAGTCCATATGTAGGCTCACCACCAGGAGAAAGTTCCGCTCTTCCCTGTTGCACCGACCAAGGAACATTGGTCAAAAGTCCTAAAAACAGCGTCATACCAGATGATTTTCGTTGTCCTATATCACTTGAGTTGATGAAGGATCCTGTTATTGTTTCAACGGGACAGGTAATGCCCGTCACCTTTGTATACTTGGCATATACATACGTATACACACACACACATATATGTTTACACACATGCTCTTTCTTTCATGCTTGATATTGTGGTCCACATGAGAGACTGACTAGAAGAAAGGCTTGCTTTAGATTCTTGAAATTATACCTATGTAGTGCTATTCTGAGCATATTACAAACGTGAGGTTTATTAAATATTTTGCGCATTTTTGTAGACCTACGAGCGTTCTTGCATTGAAAAATGGTTAGAAGCAGGGCATCACACATGTCCCAAGACGCAACAAAACCTGACGAGCACCGCACTCATACCCAACTATGTATTACGCAGCCTCATAGCCCAATGGTGTGAGACAAATGGAATGGAGCCACCAAAACGATCCGGTAGGTCTGCTTCTGCCTGCACCCCTGCAGAACGTTCCATGATCGAATGTCTCCTTCGTAAGCTTAATTCCATCAGTCCTGATGATCAGCGGACCGCCGCTGGTGAAATCCGCCTCCTTGCAAAACGGAATGCCGATAATCGTGTAGCTGTTGCCGAAGCTGGCGCCATCCCTCTTCTCACAAACCTCCTGACTGCACCAGATTCCCGCACACAAGAACATGCAGTGACCGCTCTTCTTAACCTCTCTATTTGCGAGGATAACAAAGGCAGCATCGTATCCTCGGGGGCTGTCCCCGGTATAGTTCAAGTCCTGAGGAAAGGTAGCATGGAAGCACGAGAAAACGCTGCAGCCACCCTTTTCAGCCTCTCTGTGATCGACGAAAACAAAGTGACCATCGGTTCATTGGGAGCAATCCCACCTCTCGTTTTACTGTTGAGTGAAGGAACTCAGAGAGGGAAGAAAGATGCTGCAACGGCACTATTTAACTTGTGCATATTTCAAGGCAACAAAGGAAGGGCTGTGAGAGCCGGCGTGATCCCTACATTGATGGAGCTTCTTACGGAACCACAAGGTGGGATGAAGGATGAAGCATTAGCCATTCTAGCCATACTGGCTAGCCACCCGGAAGGGAAGGTGGCTATAGGTAAAGCCGAGGCAGTGCCGGTTCTGGTGGAATTTATGGGAAGCGGGTCAGCTAGGAACAGAGAGAACGCGGCCGCGGTTTTGGTGCACCTTTGTTCTGGAGATGAAAAGTATCTGGTGGAGGCTCAAGAAGTGGGAGTAATGGGGGTGCTGGTGGATTTGCTACATAATGGCACCCCAAGAGGGAAGAGGAAAGCAGGACAGTTGCTGGAAAAGATGAGCAGATTGGTAGAAGAACAGAAGGTTTTGGCTCAGACCCGGGCTCAGGAGATGGAAGATAGGTGATGTTATTTTTTGACCAAGAGTCATGTGAGAATAGGAAGCGTAAGAAGGGATCTAGACCTTTGATCACTTTTAATCTCACCCCATCACATGAACTGCAATTGATCTGGTGCATCTGGGTACACCGTATCAACATTGCTTTTCAAGTAGGATTGATCCAAGAGTGAAGATCCCTTCTTACCCTTCTCACTTTTAACTTCCATTCTCACCGGAACCTAATCCTATTAAGTTTTTTTTTTCTTCTGATTTTTAAATTTGTTTTTATGTTTTTTTGTGGGGTTGGTTTTGTTAAGTTCCTCCATTAATGTGGAAGGGGAAAGGTGGAAGATCACCCAGCAGCAGTACCAACCTTAGCCATGGCCTGAGTTTATAGTTTTTTATTTTTTGTTTTTTTGTTTTTGTTTTGTGTTTTGTGTTTTGAGGAGTAGAAACAACTGACGACACAAATGCATAAGATTCTCTTGTCCTGTTTTAAGACCAAAGCTTGCAAACAATCGTCACATGTAATTTTTTTGTTTATTATTTAAGTGTTTGTTTTAAAAAATAAATGTCTATTTTTTTAATACTATTTTCAATTATGAGATGCATACATCTTTACTCACCTTAGGAAAATTTATGTATTTCTAAAACTGGCTTGAACATTTATTTTGGAGTATATATTTAATAAAAAGAAAGATAACTGTGTAATATTTATTCATCTCTTGCTTGGGCTCACACTAGTGACGGCCAAAAACTGGTTCCGGGCCGGGCCTAATCGGTCCCAAGATTTTTCATAATCGGTTTAATCGGTCCTTAGCAAACCAAATGGATCAAAACTATAACTAACTCTTAATTCTATACTACCAATTAATTAATAGGGATGTTCACAGTGGAGTATAAGTGATACCTTTTTAATAAACTAGACCAGAGTGACGGTTTGAGAACTTCTAAATCGTACAATTTAACATAAGGCAACCAAATCGATCAAACAATACCATAAAAATATGCGTTTATTTAACCGATTTGCACAATTTAAACCAGTAATGAACTTTAAATAATAAATTAATAAAATTGTTGAATTAAATCCAAATATACCTTAAAATAGAAGCAAAAGACGACCAATCGATCAATACAACGAAAGATCTCCATATTCCATACATGATCATATATTATACATTATTGAAATATACTTCGAAATGCTTTCATACTCATGCATCTTTGATGCACTGCTAGTACTAGTACATCTGAGAATTTTCTTCTCCTATCTGTATCGAGTAGAACATGCTGAGCCAAATCTTCTCATAGATTTATCGAATTTGAATCTCAAAAAAGAAATAAAAATAATAATAGAGAGAGAATGATGATCATGAGATAATTTTTTTTTTGTGAGGATGTGAAAAAAGTATAGATACGAAAATTTTACGTTATATTTTGTGAAGATTGGAACCTTTATAAATGACATGAATGTGCTAATCTTAAATTAATTAGGGCTCTTTTTTTAAGAACTTGTTAGTTCGTGAGATCCAATTTAAACCACAAAAAAATGGTTAAAATAAAATATATTTAGAAAAACCTTGTCTCCTCTCCCCTCTTCTCTCTCGTAATATACACGTGCGTGCGCACACACACACAAGGTGAACATATAGTGAACATTTTCTTAGAGATACTATATATAATAGTTTGTGAACAAATTACAAACACACTTTGAACCTACGAGATTTGATATAGTTTGTGAACATCAACTAAATTAACAAAACTAAGCCTAAACCTATACTACTTGTGAACAATATCTGAACCTTGTGAATACATTTTGATCATCCCACTAAATAATTTCTTAAGTTTGATTACTGATATACACATTTTTTAACCTATATTTATAATCAAGATACCTTCTTTATATTGATTTATGTACTTTATGAGTTGCCTAAGTTTATCTGGTTTATTGACAAAAGTATGGTTTTCAAATGTTTGCAACATTGAGCATATTTTCTCAAATATTCCTTACAACAAACACATTACTCTAATGATTAGTGGCTTAGGCGTACTTTTTCAAAAGACGAATCACTGAGTGAGGGTAACGGTTTTTAGAGATTTTAAAGGTTTATAATCCGTCATTTTCTTGCGGGGATCAATCATAGAACAACTTCAAACGACCACCAGATTATTTGGAATGTGTTGAAGGTTTTTATAATCTAGTTTAAATGATTGAACATTTCATCATTAGTTCTGGTGTTTATCTTGCTATTAGTGCAATTAATTAGTAGCTCAACTTCTATGCTAGTAATAGAGTTCTTTTAACTAATAAGGGATTCCTCATTGAGATTCTCATGATAGTCTGTCTAATCATAAGGATAAACAGAGTGTATGATGCGTATCGACACTTATCCCCAGTCTGGAATTGATCTAGAGAATGTATTTGGGAAGTCAACGATACACAAGTCTGCACTTTAATTGGATTATAACTCATTGTTGGAAGCTTTATTTTTATTATTTGTCGTCTTTTATTGTTTGTATCCTTAGTTTAAAATATCTTAATTCCAACCCCCCATTTTACATAAAGCGTAGAAGTCAATAATCTTTCACGATAAATTTCTACGGATTCAACCATACTTACCACTATTACAATTTAGGTTGTAATTTGAGGTAGCAGGCCGAGATGGACCCATGTAGTTTATATGGTGACATGGGCCACCATTTTATTCCTTCGTCGTCGGAGTGTAAATAATTATAGGGTTTGAAAAGTGCCACTGCATCAATTTGTTGTGCGTCATTGTATATATTTTGGAACTACAATGAATACATATGTTTTCCTTGGTATAGTTGGTTTGCAAAGCTTTTTTCCCCCCCAAACCCGAGCTCAAATCCCGTTAATGTTATTTTCTTAGTTTTTAACTTTTAATTTCAGATCTATTATGTTTTTGAATTTTTTTTTGCGATAAAAGACTAAACAGTAAAAACCTCGTATTTTTCCCTCCGCCTCTACCCTTGGGAGGGGAACAACAGCTGGAAACGGCTGCTACGACTCGATAGATAATTTGATAAGCCAATGATTTTAATGGAAACGGACGGGTGGTTAGATGCTACTTCATTTATATATAATTCATTTATAAATTTACTAGATTGAAACTTTATCACGTTCAAAAATGATCCGCATATGTTTGGTAAAGAGAATAATCTTCTCCTTTGAGAATAATCAAAAATACCAGAAAACCATCTGAATTTGTATTTATTAAACGAATGAGATTATTCAGGAATACACATTGAATGCTGAGATTACGCATTTTGATTGATAATCATATAAAGCAGAAGATATTTTAGCCATATCTTTCTCGATCAATCCCCTTGCCCCTAGATATTGATGAGATTGACAATATTGGTGCTAGTTACGATATTGGTGCTAGTGACTTCTTTTCCCGGAGAAGAACGAGAAATCTTATTCAGTTAGATATGGTAGATTCAAATGGGATACAAAAAGAGTTGACTGCCGAGCGTTACAATAAATTTACAAACGTTTTTAGACGTCTTAACAAATGTTTTAAAACTTTTTTTTTAAAATAAAATATCGTTTTACTTATTTCATAGGACACTTTTGATTGTATGAAACCATTTTAAAGAAGAATTAAATGTTGATAAATGATGTATGTATATCGTTAAGATGCTAATTTTTTATAACAAAAGCCGATATTTTCAAATTCTAATATCCATTGTTATATCTCCTCGCCTCGACATTAAGTTTTTCTTTATATGTTCAAAAACATAAACCCTAACACTAATTAATACGCCAACAAACATCTTTATGGCCCATTATATTTCGTTTTTGTATATATATATAGACTTGTGAAATTGTGTAAAAATTGCATTAACAACTAGAGTCGTTTAAGCCGAAAACGGAAACCCGAAGAAACCGTTTTAATTCAAATAAATTATTTACATTCGAAATTAATTGTGTTTCTATATATAAAAGTTTATGAATCCACCACTAAATGCATGGAAGGCAAAAGGTAAAGGCAATGAGAATCTTTGTGACTAATAAAGAAAAGGAGTGGATATGGGTAGTATTTGGTATATACATTGTGAGATAGAAAGGAAAAAAGCAAGAGATAAACCACATAATCAAAGGTTCACGTGTATCAAGAAATTCTTGTATGTATATATCATCCAAATGTAGTTCATACCTAGCTAGAAAATGCGTATACACCCATGTTCATGATCATAGAGATACACATATACAAAATATATATATATATATATATATATATATATATGAGTAAATGAGAACTAATTAGTTTGTGGTAACTGTGAGTTTTAATATGGTTTAATCATTTTATTATATTAATTGTATTATCGTAATTAAGAAAAAAAATGTATTAGTAATTTTTATTAATTAATATTTTTCATAACAGTTTTAATCAAAGAGATTGATACAGTTTCCTTATTAATCAAACAACTTATGAAAGTTCATTAACCATATCATCAATTAAAATATATTCCAAAACTATCATTTCCTTAATTTTTTAATAAATTTAAATCCAAAAATTTATCAAGCATTGATCAAAAGAAAGGATGACTCAGATTGGGTTGCATTGATTGTAACATTCTAATCGAGGGGTTGCAATCGAAGATGTCATTATATATATATATTTATTTATATGATGTTTCAAATACAACATGTGTCATTCGTACAACCCATGCAACCCAATCTGAACCGTCCATATACTCTAATACATATTTTTCTTCATAAATATATTGATTTTTTTCTAATATAAAATGATGATCATCATTGATGAACTATAATTATCTTGCATAAATATTCAAATTATAATGAATAAACCCTTATTATTTCCATAATTATTTTAATTGATTGAACTGTATAGGTTGTATGAATGAGATGGATTGTATAATAAATAAACCACCTCTCTCTCTATATGTGTGTGTGTGTGTATTATTACTAGAAAATTGAATATCATCGACGGATATTATCGGTGGAATATATCCGTCGGTAATTACTGATGGATTTGTGATGGATTACAAAAGAATTGTATTAAAAAAATAATAAATAAATAAACCATCGATAATCCGTTGCAAATCACCGATGGATTTATGTGGGATCTAACATCTGTAGGCGACTTTTTTGCAGCTTAGAGAGGAGAAATATGTCGGGTCAGATTCGAGCACCATTCCTTTTGACAACCCACAGTTGTGGGAGCGTAGCGTCGGAGGCCGGCGCAAGGGCCAC